CAGGGAACAAGTATTTGGTGCACCCATCAGCCACTACACTCACCCACCAAGGCCTCAGTTTGTGTCTCTGTTCAGTGGAGGAAACATCTTGCTTGTGGGTCTCTTGAACACAGAGTATTTTTACGTTTTTACTGTACAATTATTGGTCATTCTGAAATTTATTTAACATATTGACAATATATAGCACAGTGCAGTGTTGATTTAAAGAAAATAATGTTGAATTAGACCTAGCGAACTTAAAATTTTATTGGTGAAATGACTGCATCAAGCATGGGTCCCCTAGAATGTGATTTTTCCTCCATCTGCACTTCCTTCTCTTCTCCCTTCTCCTCCACCCTCACTTCTATAAAATTCCCATCATCATCATCATCCAGGAGCCTTCTACATACACACCTCAACGTAAGTGTACTTTACTGCATTTTTTTTACTTTGTATGTACTTTTCGGTGAGCTGGAACCAATTACCTAATATCCCATTGAAACAATGGATTCGGTTAACGAACGATCTTGAATGAATTGTGTTCGTTAACCGAGGGACCACTGTGTGTGTGTGTGTGTGTGTGTGTGTGTATGTATGTGTGTATGTATGTATGTATGTATGTATGTAAAGAAAGAAAGAGAGAGAGAGAATAATAATGTACTTTTTTGTAGTACGTACTGCATACTTAAAATTCAGATAAGGACAGTTTACGGTTGTCCCCCTTTTTTTTAATAAAGGACAGACCTGGCAACCCTGTGCGGTGGCGCCAACGGGACTACTCTCTCACATCAGCTGATCGCTAGTAAACAGACCATTTCGCATCCCGTAATTTTAGCTGTGTTGATTTACAATTGGTTGCAACGCGATTAATGAATAGGGGAACGCCATTTGTAAAACGCAAAATTTTGCATACAAATGTTGGCTATAACACGATTCCATCCTCAACGTTTTAAGCGTGGCGCGGGGTTATGCAATGTTTACAGTTCACGTTCGACATCACATGTTCAATTGATTCTTGTCTTTTGAGAGGTAATCTGTATTTTTTTTTCTCGCAAATTTAGCCGTGACCCATTAATACCTGTACTGAATGAAAAGAATCTGTACTGAATGAAAAGAATAAGTAAAAAGAATGTTTCGCAGTGAGGACTAATAATGGTTTACACCAGCGTTCTCTGTTTACATCACGTGATCAGACGAATCGCGCGGTTTCTGTCAATTGCTCCATGATTTTCGCTGTTTTCTCCAATTTTGCAGTGTTAATGATGAATATGGAAAGACAAGGTAAGAAGAATGTTTTCAAGAAGAGTTCTGGTGATCGAATTGCTGGTGGTGAACGAAAATGAGGTTTACAAGAACGTAACTATCGCGTTGTATCCCGCGCCATCCAAGCAACCGCCCGGGCTGTTATTGTGTGCTTTTTTGGGTGGTGCCTCTACCTCTACTGGTGCTGGTGGGTCAGACACATCTAAGTGGCCAAATAAGGAAAAGGAGAAGCGGGACTATCATAAGGGAGTTAAGTTTGCCAAGTACTCGATGCAGGATAAGCAGCGTGATTAAATTACTTGAGGAAGGCCTAAAAACTAGCTTCCGGAAAGCACAATCAGGTCAATAAAGGCAGAATTTGTATCATTTGGAGGTTATAAATGTGAAAATCAGAGGTTGATGTAGAGTGGCCAGTCTATATTGTTATTTTTCCCATTAGTTTATGTATTTGCATTTGGCAAATTTGAATTTGGGGCAGTTTTTCCAGTCTATATTACTAGCGAAATACAAGATATTACTGTATTTCATTCTTGACGTTGACATATCAGAAGCAATTCCTGACGAAGTCACGATGTCAACCACTCCATAGAACAAGTTCGTTATACAGGAAGAAGTACCAGAGAGGAGCCCTGAATTATATACCGTACACTAACTGATTTGTTTACAAAAAGCTGGAGCTGGAAAACCAATCTGTTTTTATGGATGTCTTTATTTTGTTGACTTATGACCATATTAAATGTTTACATCACCCAGTTTATAAACTGAAACTGCTATGTCTATTAGCCTGAAATCTGTAAATTACAATAAAGTTATTCTAAACCACAGTGTGAAATATGTACTTATAGTGTAATGTTTGTGTGACAGAATAACATACTTATGTAATGAGATGCAACCATTTTAAGCGCTGCATTACATTTCCCTATTCCAATGCACTTTCCTACAAGATTTACAACTTTTTTTTTATATAATCCTAGATAAAGCTGAAATGCATGGTATATATACTAATAGGTATGGATTACCTCTTGAATTGGGTGTAAGTAATCTTGGGAACTAATTATCTCATGATAGAAGTATTTAAGTGGGTGAAAGGCATCAATAAAGGGGATATAGATAAAGTTCTTATAATATCCGAGCAGGATAGGACTCGGAGCAACGGATTCAAGTTGGATAAGTTTAGGTTTAGGAGGGAGATAGGAAGAAACTGGTTCACAAATAGGGTGGTGGACGAGTGGAACAAGCTTAGCAACTTTGTAGTAAGTGCGGGAACTCTGGAAAGTTTCAAAAGGAGGCTAGATAGATTCATGGATGATAGAGGGTGGTAGTAACTCTCGACAGGAGCTGCCATGCACAGGCCAACCGGCCTATTGCAGACTCCTTATTTTCTTATGTTATGTTTCTTACGAGTTGGATACGAGTTGACTTTTTCAGGTATGATTTATCTTGGGTACGAGATACCCCTAACCCATAAAGCACTCTCACCATACATATTTATACAGTAAATTAACTTGAATCACCAGAAGAATCTGCACCACAGCTTATTTCACCTAAACATTAACCATCCTAACACTAACCTAACCTCATCCCCCCCCCAAATAGTGTTAGGGTGGTTAATCTTTAGTTGAACTAAGCTGGGGGTGCAGATTCTTCTGGTGATCCATTAAATCTATTGATGTCAATATATTTCAGCACTAAGGAAGTACAGTACTGTACTGTATTAAATTTATACATGGTTTTGAAATGGAATTTCAAGGATTATATACCATACTTGGCCTGCACTGCTTGACACACTCAAATGTATTCTTTGCTCATAGCATTTAGCCATTGCCTTACTGATAACATGAAACCATTAATGAAATAAAGAATTTTGTTTTAATACCTCTTCCTCTAGATAACTGCATGTTTGGTTTATACTGAACAAATATTTTCTCTATATTAATGCAATAATGCCAACATACATGGTCACAGAGAACATAAAAACTGTAAAGTGCTGTAATCTGACATATCTTCATTATCACAAACATACAAGAATGTGGGCAGAGCTTATTTCACATGCACAGTAAGATCTGACTTTACATACCTAACCAACAAGAAAATAAAGGAAGAAATTACATTCCTGGGTACTCTGTTTTCTCAAAATTTATGTTTATGATATTTGTTAAACTGATAATGTTCCACAATGTGGTTTGGGTTACACACATAACAATTAGATAAAACTACTGAAATCCAGTTTATTAACCAACAATATCATCACAGCAAACAACACAAATATAATACTGTTGGTCTCCAGCAATATTTAATGAAATACATAACTCTGAGGTAGTTTACACCCTATCCAACCTCACCTTCACTTCTAAGATTTTGTAAAACAAATATATATAAATAAAATAATAAATAACTATGGTAGAATCAGATGGAGAACTAGAAATCTACTGGGTAATAATGCACTGAAAACATAAAAATTATATGAGGGAGGATTAAAATGTCAAAAGTATTAGCTGCATTATACACATAGCCAGTTGCTACATTTAATAGCCAAGGTAGCCGGCTACACTGGCACTCCATAAAATAAAGCATCCAATCCTAATGCAATTTTTTTTTTAATTTTCTTAAATCAAAAGCATATCAAAGCTTCGTTCTAAAGAGGCCATTAGCCTGGTAGTGCCTTCATTCCAACAATAGGAAAGCCCTGAACAAAGGGTACGATTAAGAGCAGTATTTGTTATATCAATATCAAATTTGAGTTCATAAAACTTAATTTAAAAACTTGCTTGGTTGTTATTTAAAATATAAACTACACAAGCAATACTTTGTTAATTAAAAAAAAACTGAATATATCAGTGTATGGTGAGCACAGCTCCCCAGAATTATCACTATAGTAACTGTAAAAGGACAGTTATATTCAGTGGTTTGATATCCTAAAGTCTTGATGTGAACTTTGCCATAATACCAACCTAGGAAGTCATATGTGGTAAAGATAACATTACACAACCTGGTACTGCATTATACAAATAGCACATGTATTTAACACAAACAATAATATGGGTTAACTTCACAGTACAATACCTAACTGAAAAACCAACGCTGTAATGCACAAAATTAGATATTTGTTAAGCTTTCATTGATCTTCAAGGTTAGGTTTGACTTTCTTTCACAATCTGTACTTCCCTAACAATGTCCAGACATGTTACCTGGCCAAGGTAAGAAACTATACAGCCTATAAAAAAACCTTCCTAATTTAATTTGTATAAAATCGGGTTCAAAATTATAACACAAACCTGTAGGCTGCAACACCTAAGTAACGGTGTTAATGGGCCAACAGAGTGGTGGCAACACAAACACAACACACCATCACAAACTTGACTTTTCCTTACACTGATCCTACCACACCAGCCACGTCCACTTGCCACGCCCATGGATGTTACAGATGTCTTACTGCCACGCCCGCGCCCACACACCTCACTAAAACTTAAGAGGAACCCGGCAGGAAGGGCGGAAGTGACCTGCTCCAGTGTTTGAGGCGACCAAACAGGCTGCCAACAGCGTCACTCTCACCTCCTTATACTTCACTCCCTCCACCAATACAACAAGTTTATCATTCAACGTTTGATAATATATGATATTTAACCATAGATAAACCGTAATCCCTCTGTTAAGCCCACGAAGGTCAATAACATTACTATAAGACCACCGATCTCTCCGAGTCGTCTGCTACTATTATTAATAATTCTCCATAACATACAGTTCCAATCTTGGCTTACCTGGGCTCGTTCCAATGACGGATGACTGAAAAATTAATCCTATCCTAATAATAGAGGTAAAGGGACGGATGGCGACAGAATTTCACGATATTTTTACTAACACTCCGCTCCTGTGAGCGAATGTCAAAATGGCGAACTGTACCAAGCTTCTCTGGGTCGATATGGTGACGTCACTCCCGGGGTGCGCGGCGCCATGGCCGTCACCAGTCCTCCTTGGCTGCGGGTTTATCTCTCTATTTCCATTGTATATCATTGAATATTCTGGGTTTTTTTTAAATATAACTCTTTATGATGGAATTAAATTTATAAGCACACAATAAAATAAATATAACTGTCTCATTCATCATACATGAGAATATACATCAAATTTTAGTCCTTTAAATTCCCAGATTGAAAAGAGAGATCGTCTGCTGGCGGGCTATTCAAGACGGCACGGTAGATGTTCATGTTAACATTTGACAAACTTATAATGATTTTTCATTTGCTAATGTCAGTGTAGTGACAGATTTTTAACGCTAAATGTGTGTTTCAGTGTGAGGGGTCTCGTAGGTACTCTGTGTGCTAGATTAATAACGTACTGTACGATGTTCGACCCGAGTAGGAATTCCATTTGTTGAGGTTTCATATATTACTGTGCTTCAGCGGCTGGTTTGTCTCGTGGTTAGTTGTGTTTCAATTAAATTATTTTAAATATGCAAAAATTAATAATGAAACTTGAATGCGCGTAGATTAGATAACTATCGATATGATATTATGCAAATGAAAACTACTTGAGAAAACTGTTCATGGTCGACAAATATTTCTATAAGTAACTGAGAGAATCTTACGAACTTGGTATGAATATTGTATTTTAGCACTATATGACACACACACAGTCTTTCAAATATGTTTGTCAAACATGGTGTTTGATCATACAACTTGAGAGCGTGCGGGCAAGTTTGAAGGTATTTTTCTCGTCCAACATGACGTTCGTCAAACTTGTTGGATATGTGTGGCAATGTATGATTAAACATGCTCAGTCGAGTAGCAGTAGAGCGCACACTTGAACACTACGTCCTCGACTGTGTGAAGATAGAACCTTTTAGGGACAGGTCCAAGCACACTGTGTGTGAAATAGCACAACACTTCATCTCTAATGGCAAGATAGCCGACATATTAAGATTGTATCCACTTTTTTGCACTTAGTAACTATATCAGTTCTCATGTACAGAACCAAATACACAATGTGCTCGAATACTTCTCACGTAAATGTGAATAACAAAGTGTGAGGCCAGACATACTGCCTCACACGCCTGTACTCACGCATTTGTGAATAAGTTACCCTTTATGTATAGAACTAAACAAATAATGTAATTGAAATACTGTGTAACATTCAGTGCCATAATATCCTGACAACGGAGGTTAATTATTATGACCCATTGTAAACTCTACTCTGTAATCCTTTTGCGCTACCACTCACAGGATGAGTGTGGGGTGCACAATAAAGTAGCCGCTGTAAGCGGCAAAATCAAATCAAATCAACCCTTCTCCCACTCCCCACACGACTACCTAGTGCACATGTACTCGTATGCTGTTCGCCCCATCCCTCACACCTGTTCCACACCCTCCCCGTCACAGCTGGACCCCTTTTCATGTTCTAATTATGAATTTCGCACTTGACTGACAACCTTTTAAGTAAAGATTAACTCTGCAAACTACTTTCAACCTCATCCGTGCTATTATTTGTCATGTTTTATGATTGTAATGTGCGTATATTTCTTGTATTGTCTTATTTTAGAAGTCATTATAACGTTTTTCCTTCATCTACTCTACGGTGTCTTAATTTGGAGTCAGATTAATTGTGGATATATAACTATTGTACGTGGCCATAAGACTATTATGGGTGTTTTTCAGATATTTTTATCATTTTTCAGTTTCACATAAAAAAAATATTTCTTCACTTATTAGACGATAAACATTTTATTAGGTTCTCCTTCTTTCTATATTATACAATCGTACCATTATCATACACTTAACATATTAGACTGATAATCAGGTTACTATAATTTTTTCATCTTGCATATATTAGTCAGTCAGTGTAACCATATTTTTCGTTTCTCTCATCAGATACTCATTATCGTCCTTACAATCTGCTTATCTCATATTCCACAATCAAGTGATTTACGCAGCCCTTTTCAAAGCAGACAAACACTCATAGTTTCCATTGCCCTGTTGATCACGCCCTACTGTTCACCCTCCGATTTCCATTTCGTCTTAAATTTCACAACCGAACAGTCAAAAGATGAGGTCATGAGTATGTCTTCGTGTTTCCTAATTTTTCTAAGCACAGTATCGCTAACTTTTCAAAATAGTAAACCGTTACCTGATTTATCTAAATAAATCGTCGATGACTAATTTGCCTAAAACAATGTATATTAGGGTGGTCCTTATTTGGGGCAAAAAACAAAATTTGCCAGTTTTTTGTCACAGACCCTGGCAAAAGTTTCCATTTGGGGTAGAAACATTGCCTGTAAAATATTTTTTAAATATCTTAATAATTAAAGGTTGCTCAAGTCAAATGAAATTTAACAATATTATGCCTATGCTTAATGTTCATAACACATCATTTCCTAGCCCCCAAGCCTGGGCCCCCCCCCACTTAGTCTAACTAGGTATTAGCTGCTCAAGGCAGGGGTCGCATGAGGACCAGTCTCACTCTTTGTTGCCCAGTAAGGTCTGCTTGAGGGCATTAGGGAATGATTTCCTGTGGTCAGCAACTGCCTGCAATAGATACTGCAGTTGCTGTTCGTCCTTGGTGATGCGGCCTGAGAAATCTTGGACTAAGGCTACTCCTCTTTCTGCATGATCATTGATCACAGACAAAGCTTGTACACTGGCTTTTGCATTTTGGAAGCCAGGATCATCTTTCCACTGTTCTACTGGGAGGGTCAGGAAATCTGTATTCAAGTTGAGCTTTTTGAAAAATGACTTTGTGTTCTTTGTCGTGAAATCATATAGGTTCTTCACTTGGAGTGTGTCTGGGTTGATTGTAACCCATTTGACATTCTTTTCTTCTCCAATAAAGATGTTCATAGCTTCCAACATGCGGTCCTTCACTGCTGGGAGAACATCGTCATCAAAGAAGGCCAATGCAACCAACTCTTCTGACAAGTACCAGAGGTGTCTCATCATTTTGTGGAAAGTTGCCTTTGATATGGCATCGCTGATGGTACTGTAGTCTTGTAGAGCTTTAAGCAACATCAAATCTCCTTTTGGTGCCTTTGCAGCAAGTGGAGCAGTTGTCCAAGCCTTCACATATATTCGGGCAAAGAAAATGCACAAATCTCTTAGTCCTCTGTTCTCCTTTGGAGTAAGCGTAAACTGAGAACGGAATAACCACACTTTGAAGGAATAAATGGTCTTTGCCATCCATCGTGCATGGTGCATTGCATCAGGAGCAGAAAATCGTACTCCCCGAGAAGGTGATGTGCCAAGGAAGATGGAGGCCAGCTCTAGCAGCTCTCGATAATCATCTCGAAGCTGTGTCTCCAATAGAGCCTTCTCAATGAAGTTGGTTAGATCGTCCCTAACAGCCCTGACCGATTCTTCTGCCAGATCGTCGGTGGAGGAGTCTTCAAACTTCTGCTTGTCAATTTGTTCCCATTTGGCTTGGAATCTTCTGAACAGCTGTATGTCAGGAGCAGATGAGTGCCCCATTACAGCTTCAAAAGCAGCTCCAGCTACACGTTCTAGTACATGGTGGCGGCAGGCAAAATATAGCAAATCACGACCCAGCAACTGCTCAATTTTGACACACGCACCCTTGTGGTGACCAGTATTTGAGCTTGTTGTATCAAAACACATGCCATGCACGATGTCTGCAATGTGCCATTGCTACAAAGCCTTCACAACAGCTTTTGCTTGTTCATCACCGGTACCAGAGGGAAGTTTTGGAACAGCAAGAAGTTGGGAGGTGCCATTGCCTGAGACAAGAACTGGGAGTCTGTCAACATGGCCCCCCATGCCCCGTCAAATCAGGCATCAATTTACCATCCCAGTGAACAATTAAAACTGACTCTGGTTTGAAGTTTGAAAGGATTTCAGCTGCCCTGCTACTGCGATTATGCTGAAGTTTCCTCCTGATGCTTGATCGATTCAGAATCAATTCACTGACATCATGGCCCAGACTCCGAGCAGTTTGGGTGACAATGTGCATGGCCATTCTATCTGAGGACTTGGTCCGATCTAATGCTGCAAAAAGTTCTGGAGTTAGAACTTCTTTTCGCCCACGCTTCTTGACAGTAGGTGGAGTTTGAAGTGCTGATGGGCCAGGAACTGGGTTGGATTCCTCAGAAGAAGACGTACTACTGCTGTCCAAGACAACGATGGCCTGGCATTTTTTGGCTTCTTCCTCTGCACTGTCTGCAGCCAACTTCCTTTTCATTGCTTTCTTGAGAGATTTTTCTCGTCATTTCTGTCTTTTCAGGAATACTTTGTCAAGAGATGACATTGCCCCACGACGCCCTTTTTCTCGTTGCGCTATTAAGAAATCCTTATCCTCCTGAACTGTCATCATATTCAAAGCATTCACATGTACAATGTCAAAGAGATCTTCAAATGTATCAGTGAACTCTTTCTCTTTCTGCTTTTGAGTTTCTGTCTTTCTTGAAGAGTTCTTTTTCAAACTACTCCACTTATCAAACATTTTGTGCACTTGATTCACACAATCTGGTTTGTGGTGTGTGGGAATGTTTGCTTTTGTCCAAAATTGAAGAACTTTGTCTGTGACTTCCCCAGCTGCCACTCTGATGGGTTTTTTCTGTATGCGATGCAGGCTTAAGAAATACTGTAACACTTGCCTGTTTGAAGGTAACTTAGCCCCTGTAATGTCATCACATAATGTCTTTATCATATACACACTTTCTCGTCTTTTTACTCCTGCATTAGCCATTTTGACCTGAGGAATAAAGAAATTAACTATTAATATAAATTAATAATGAGAATAATCTGCAGAACTGTTTCTAATTTCCCCAATCATCAATCGCGACCAGCCAAAACTCACCACAATCGTGCCAAATGCGACGCACTAGTGGTGGGCGTAATCGGCTACAAAGTAATCGACTACATCGATTACTTAATTTTTGACAGCTTTGAGCAACCTCTAAATATTAATATATTTAA